TCCCGACCTCAAGTGATCCGCCCGCCTCAGCCTCCCAAAGCGCTGGGATCACAGTTGTTAGCCACCATACCCCGCCTACTGTTAGATTCTCCATCCCGCAAGAAAGCAAAACCACATGCAAGTACACAGACACACATACGCAGACCCTGTCAGAGCCGGTTGTGAGATCCTGTATGGCAAACATCCCGAGGGGACACTGCCCAGGAGGCACCCCCGCCCGAGGCCAGCCTGCTCGCGCCACACTGCCTGCCTTTCTCGACTAGGGCTGGAGACTGCCCAAGAGGCAGCATCCTGGACACACAGGCCTCAGCTCTCCCCTGCCAGAAAGCAGCAGGACATGGGGTCGTCTCGGGGGAGTGCATGCAGAAGTGGGGTGGGGAGCGAGGAAGGGGCAGGCGCCGTCCGGGGGGTCTTCCCATTGGCTGAGGGCGAGAAGGCCCCAGGTCCCGGACGCACCTATCTCCTAAGCAGCAGGACGCCTTTTCTTCCTACAAGCCCCTGTGGGAAGACACTCTGCTGTGGGAGGGTCAGGACTGGCACTTAGGGAGGACAGGGGAGCTCTGGACCCCTACGTGGGGCCCTGGACATGGGTGGGGGGCTTCTGTCCGCCTGGCTTCTCCCTTTACAACAGCAGGGAACAAAGTCTCACTCCCCAGTTCTGAGAGTCCTGCTGGAGGACCGTGGACCCAAACAAGGGTCGTGGGAGCCGCAATGTGTAGCCAGGGGTGTGGGGACCCAGGGTGGCATTAAAGGTTGGGCCGGTGCTGGGGGACCCAGGGTGGCATTAAAAGGGGGGCGGGTGCTGGGGGCCGAGCCGCTGCCTATAGGGTCTGTGCTACCCCCGCAGGCAGGTGTCCAGGCAGCTGAGACACCCGGATGCCGCGTCAGGAAAAGATATCACGCCCGCCCTCGCTGCGAGCCCCAGAGCTTCGGCCCCTTTCCAGAGAAGCGAGTGGGGACACTCAGACCTCGGAGAGGGAGCCGCCAAAACCCTCGCTGAGCACGAGAGGCTGGAGGCCACCAAGCGGAACCTGAAAAGCAAACGCCACCGACTTCACGAGGAAAACAAATCCATCCCTTCTCGCCATGAGGATGAAAGTTTCCTCTATTAGACGGCACGGATGGAGCCACGGCCTCGTGAAGAGCTAAAGGCACCGAGCTGTGTGAGTTACACAGCTAGCGGGTACCGCCCGAGCGTCACACCTCAGTTATTAACACAAAAATCAACTCTCACTGGGAGAGGACAGAGATGCAGACCAGGAAGCCACGTCGGGGGGGACGCTCAGGACCCGGAGCCACAGCTCATACCCACACTCAACACCAGCCGCTGCAGCCCTGGGAGGGGAGACAGTGCCTGCGAGAGCTGAGGCCCTCTCGACACCTGGCAGGAGCTGGGCAGCTCTCCCGCCCTGGAGCACCAACCCCGCAGCCCCCACTGCTGAGCCCTCAGCACGGCCCTGCCAGGCTCCTGTTCCCCCAACATACAAACTCGGGGCCCAGAAAGGACCAAGTGAGGCCCAGGGCCTCGGAACCGCCAAGGAGGAAGCCGTGCTCTCGACAGACATCAGGGGCACAGGCTTTGGTAGAGGCGGTGGGAGTCCCAATCGCCCCTCAATTGCTGGCAGGGCAGGCTGCGCTGCGCTTCCGCGGCGCCCGGACCCGCTCGGGAGGAGCCCCTTGCTCAGCCACCGACGACCCTCAGGTGCCCCGTCAGGAAGTGGGCAGGGCCGTCGTCAGGACGCGTCCCAACACCTGGCTTCCAGACAAGACGGGCGCGTGCCTCCAACCTCTCCCTGCACACAGGGGAAGCACGTAGTGACAAGAGGCTGGCTCTGCTGTGTGCCCCAGAGCCCCAGGGGGCCCTCACCAGTGGCCGTGCCACACACACAGCACCCACTGGGCACCCACCCCGGGGTGTCTCCATGGGAGATCGGTAGCTGCTCAGATGCGACCAGGCACCCTCAGAGGCACCTGTGCCCACGTCCGCAGTCACTCGGGGTCCTGAGCACCCTCCAGTCTCTGCCTGTGTGGTGAGCTGTGAAAGGGGCCTGGCGTGTGGAGCGCGCCCCAGGTGAGGGGACATGGGGGACCTGCAGGGGCAAAGGCATCTGCTCGGCTCCCTCAGTGAGGACGGACACGAAGTGGAGACGGAGGCGCCTGCGTTCATTGTCCCTCCTAACAGCAAACCCAAGGTCTCCCACACGCCCGGCCACCCAAGCTGCTCGGGGCAGCCCCCCTTCTCTTCCAGGCTGCTCTCTGCTCACCACTTGGTTTGCACGAGCGCCTGGTGCATCCCGAGACATCTCTCCCCCAGCTCCACTTCCGTCTGTGGTGCCCATGTGACCTCCCGGGCACACACTGCTTCTCATCCTTGTGGCCTCCAGGCTGGGCAAGGCCCCCTCCTGGGCGCGGGACCACTCGCCTGCTCTCCATCTAGGCTAGCCCTCCTGACACAGTGGCCTCGAGCCTCTGGGGCTGCCAGGAGGGAGGTGGGGCCAGCGTCCAGGTTGCTTTTCTTTCTAGCCATCCCTGCCACACCCGCTCCCACAGCTGGGGGCACCCAGAGGCCCAATCCCGCCCACCAATCTCCGGGTGGCACCGTTTAAGCCACACAGCATCAGGACACGGCCGTCAAAGGCAGGCACCACCACCAGCCTTCCCTCTGCAGAATCCCCCACCTTCTCCCTCCTTCTCTCTTCCAGGTGAGCCGCTAGCATGGTCAGTTTCTTCTGCTAAGAAACCATGAGTGATGGCCGGGCGCGGTGGCTCACACCTGTAATCCCAGCACTTTGGGATCACGAGGTCAGGAGATCGAGACCATCCTGGCTAACACAGTGAAACCCCGTCTCTACTAAAAATAAAAAAAAATTAGCCAGGCATGGCGGCGGGCACCTGTAGTCCCAGCTACTCGGGAGGCTGAGGCAGGAGAATGGCGTGAACCCGGGAGGCGGAGCTTGCAGTGAGCCGAGATCGCGCCATTGCACTCCAGCCTGGGCGACAGAGTGAGACTCCATCTCAAAAACAAAAAAACAAAAACAAAAAAACAGTCTCCCATCCCCAACACTCAGGCCACCCAGATGGGACTGAACACGCCCCACTCAGCCCCTCTGTGGAGGGTCAACACCAACCACTGAAACAGCCGAGGCCGCAGGGTGAGCACCTGTGCCGCAGCCACAGCTGCCGGGTCCGAGTACAGGGCAGCCTCGAGGGCTGGGACCCATGGTCTTCTGTTTTTTGAGACAGGATCTAGCTCCATCGCCCAGGCTGGAGCGCAGTGGCACAATCTCAGCTCACTGCAACCTCCGTCTCCCGAGTTCAAGCGATTCTCCGGCCTCAGCCTCCCGAGTAGCTGGGACCACAGGCGCTGCCACCTCGCTGTCTGATCTTGACTCAACTCTGTGTGTTCCGGCTTTTCACCAATTCCCATCCCAGCTGCAGATGACAAGCCCCACCCCCGAGAACCTCCGACATGGGCACGGCCCTGCTGGCTCTACCCACTGCTGGGTCTAGGGCCCCACTGCTCCTGGCATCCCCTGGAAGCCTCCCTGTGTGACCCCCGGTCCCTCGTCTGGGTGGTGACCATCACCTCTCAGGTCCTGGCTCCCACAGGGGCTCCCACCACCCCGCCCCATGACCTGGAGTCAGGAGGATGAGAAAGGGGCAGGCTCTGCACTCAGGGACGCAACACCGTTGGGAGCTGGGGTGAAGGCCGGCCCAGGCTGTGCGCCGACCCCGCTCCACCCGGCCACCAAGCAGGCTGCCCCGCTGGCGTCTGTTCTGATACAGTGGTCCTGGGTGTTGCGGCCCAGGCAGGCTGGGGCTGCTGCTTTCTCTCTGGGTCCCTGGACGAGCACCGGCCTCCCTGTGCCCAGTCTCAGGGCCGGAAGCAAACCCCACTGTGCCCTGCAGAGCTGAGCACTAGGGCCAGGAAGCCACACAGATGCACACCCGACTTTGCAGATGGAGCCCGGGGCGGGCAGCAGCCTCCTCCGGTGACAGGAGTGGCGCGGGTGTCCACTTCACACTCCCTGCACACTCAGGGCTGGATCACACCTCCAAGCACCTCACGACAGCCCCTGTGAGGGGGTCACGGGCAGACAGCAGAGGGAGAGCCCAGCCATACACACCCTAAGCCTGACACGGACGGAGAAGCCCCTGCCCTGGGCACCGCCCCACCCCGCAGAGCCTCGCCCGGATACACGCCCACCCTGCGAAGTCTTGCCTCAGCCTCAGTGGGGGCACTGACCTGCAGAGAGTGGGGGGCAGCCCAGTGCAAAACGGGAGCGCTGCCTGCACACCTGCTGCCCACAGTGGCCCCCAGCCCATGTCCCCCGCCTCAGGACTGGCCCCGACGGTCACTGCCTGGGCCTGAGGCCTTCACAGCAGCAGGAGTGCAGTCAGAGGACAGGCAGGGCTGCCACCCTGGGCCACGGTCCATGGGCACAGGGCGGGTACCCAGCTCCCCATGCCCCTACAAACAAGAGCCGCCACCCAAAGACTCAGCCGCTTCTGAGGGCGCAGACCACTCCCTGGAGGCAGTCACCACTCGGTCGGGGCCCAGCACCCGTCCGTCACCAAGGAAGAACAGCCTGGCCTCTCCTGGGGTGCTCCGAACCCCAGGGGGTGCCCGAGGGAAGCCAGACAAAGCCGGGGCCTGGAAGGAAGCAGGGATGTGAAGGCCGGGCACCCACGGTGCCCATGCAGGCCTGGGTGTTGGGGGCCTGTCCTGCCACGCCTGAGGGCCACAGCGAAGAGCAACGATCTCGGGGAGGGAGAACGGGACGCTGATCCTCACTCAGCCTCCACCCAACCCACGCGGCCACAATTCCATCCCAAGGGGAGAGCGCCGGCTCAGGGTCACACACCAAGGATGGCTCCCGGGCACCAAACAGGACTGCAGCCATCCCCACAGGGGCTGCTCTCATGGCCGGCTCTGAGCCAGAGCCGACCCTCCCTGTCAGCTCCCACCCCCTTCCCCAGCCCTGGCCTCAGGCCTCTACCTGCCCTGTTCTTCTCGGGGTCCTCCATCTGGTCTGGGCTCAGGGCCAGTTCCCTGGGGAGGGCCCTGGCAGCCCCCTTCTCTGACTGTCTCCACTCAGTGATGTCACAGTCCCTGGACTGACATCACCACACAGCCCTTAGCCCAGAGCCCAGGGAAAAGCTGAGGGGAGGCCAGGGACCTCGCTGGGCTGGGCAGGTGCAGGCCACCCCCGTCCCAGTGCCCTCAGAGACACCTAGATTCATGTGGACCCGGCCGTGGCCCCTTCTGGGCAGCGCCATCCAGGCCGGCCCTGCCCTCTGACCTGGGGCCGCAGGGGCTGGCCACCGTGGGCTCGGTCCCCCACCACCCCGATTCATCTGCACCCCAAGTAAAGAGAATGCGGAGTTGCAGCGCCCCAGGACCCACGAGCCCCCGAACACCAGGGCAGCACATACTTCCAGTCCCAGGGCCAGAGCAGAGCGGGGCCAGGCCCAGCCCGGTGACACAGGGCAGACGGAAGGGCGCCCTCCAAAACAGAAGAGCCCAGGAGCTGCCGCGGCCGGGACGAACCAACCGCAGGCTGACCTAGGCCGGCAATGGGTTTAACGCTTTGGGTGCAAAAGAGAAACACCCCACAAATCAGGGAGAGAAGGGAAGCTGCCCACGCCACGGGAGGAGGCTGAGGAGTGAATGCCGGGGCCAGGTGGGGCCAGTCCTCACAGCACTGTGGAGACCAGACCAAGGGCGACTGTCACCACCACGAAAAGGCCTTGTCCACGGCAGAAGCCAACCTCACCACACCGACTGCACCAGAGATGCCCATGCGGAGAGCCGGCCTCCGAGAACGCGGCTGAGCCGGCACAGGCCACCGTCAGCAAAGGCAAGGACCCAGGTAAAGAGCACAGGAGGGCCATGAGCAACCACAGCACAGCGGCCTGGACAGACCCTGACTGGGGGAGGGGGCGAGGCTGCGCAATGGCAGCTGGGACTGGACCCTGTTGGGGAGTGGCGGGGGGGCGGCGAGGCTGCGCAGGGACCCCTATCCCACAGGAGGTCAGCCTTGCCCTGGTGATGGCACAGACCACAGGTGAGGGCCACGGGCGGAGCTGACTCCAGGGAAAAGCTGGCCCTCACCCAGAGCTGCACATCCCACTGGCAGCCTTGGCGGAGGGCACTGTCCCTGCAACCTCTCCACATAGGGGCAATTTTCCCAAAATTCAGATTATGCAAAGGGAGGCGCGGCTGCCATGGACTCTAGGGCCTCAGACACCATCAACAAAAGCAAAGGAGACACATTTGCATCAAATCCATCACAAAGATGGCCTTCGAGACTCTGGGGGAAGTGAGAACACCGACGCACAGGCCCCCACGGCGCACAGGCCCACACGGCAACCCTACTCCGCCTCAGCAGCCTCAGTTCTGGTTCCTGCACCCTGGCTCGGGGGCAGAGCTGACCCGGTCTTGCCAGGGGGCAGGGGTCCCCTGGCCCCAGGTGGTGCCACAGACAGCGGAGGGAAGCACTCAGGCAGAGTCAGGCACCCCACCAGGAAAGAAAGCTCCCACGGCAGGTCCCGGGGCTGGGTGGGACCCTAGGGACCCTGGGTGGCTCCCATCGGAATCCTGCTAGGTCTGGGAGGACACTGGTCCTTCCAGAAGCGTAACCACAAACAGCCGTGGAAAATCTGGGTGGGCTGCGTTTCTACATTTCCTTTTCTTTTTTTTTTTTTTTTTCCAGATGGAGTCTCACTCTGTCGCCCAGACTGGAGTGCCTTTTCCCCTCACAGCGTGGGAGCCAACGGGTGATGTCCCACCCTGGTTTCCCTCCACCCGAAGGCAGTCACCTTGGTCGCCGGCTCCTGCCTCTGCGATGATCCCCACGAGGGCTGCAGAGTGGAGGGCACAGCGGGGTTCGGCCTCATTCCCCGGGGAGCCCCAGGCGAGAGCTTGGTCCTGGGGAGCTGCCCAGGTCTTTGCCATTCCCTGGCCTCCATCCAGTCCCTCACGACTTGGCTCCTGGCCCTGGGCACCGAGCGATGCCTGCTAGGCCCGTGCGCCTCAGAGTCAGGCCTGTATTCACTTCAGCTTTTATTAAGGGCTTTCAGGGATTGGCTCTTTTAAATCATCGTCAAATATATTGTTATTAAAAGGATACGTACACTTTGGGAGGCCCAGGTGGGCGGATCACTTGAGGTCAGGAGTTTGAGACCATCCTGGCCAACATGGTGAAACCCTGTCTCTACTAAAAATACAAAATTTAGCTGGGCGTGGTGGTGGGCGCCTGTAATCCCAGCTACTCGGGAGGCTGAGGCAGGAGAATCGCTTGAACCTCCTGGAGGCTGCAGTAAGCCGAGATGGCACCACTGCACTCTGCCTTGGCCACAGGAAGACTCTGTCTCAAGAAACAAACAAAAAAGCAGGTTGAACACACGGAAGCGTTGCACTCTCTGTCACCCGGGCAGTCTCAGTGCCCAGAGGCCGCAGACGACACACACACTATCGGTGTACCAGCGTCTGCCCCCTGGGTCCTCATCCAGCCCTGCACCCACCGCCCACGGAGGAGCCAGCGTGTCCTTGCTGTCCTGCAGTGACCACCACAACCCCTTTCACACAGAAGGGTTGGGCTATCCCCCAAAATGACATGCCAAGTCCTAGCCCCCAGTAAACAGAAACGCGGCCTTATGTGGAAATGAGGTTGGCCTCAGTCTCACCAAGTCTCAGCTTAATGTCATGTTTCACGATGTTGAGTCAGAAACAGCAGAGAAGAGGAGGGTGGGGAGGTGGACTCTGCTTCCTCCCGCCCAGCCTGCGAATCCTGGGGACACCCAAGCATCCCCCGTCCTGGCCCACTGGGAGGCTGCACCCCCCCAACTGGGACCCCCGTCCCATCATACACAACACACCTGGCGCTGCCCTCTCAGGGAGCCCTGGAGGACCAAGGGCACACAAGCGGCCAGCCTCAGGATCTGGCAGGGTCTGAACTGGAAGACATCACGTGGTCCCAGAAGGCCCCCATCTTTGATTTTTATAAATCGGCCAAATGGCAGAAAATGTTGCCTCCCCAGGCACACGGTGTCTCCTCTTGCCTCCCCTCATTTCAACAGCAGGGGACAGACACAGACCACCCGCCTGGCCAGCTCTCTGACCCCCACGGTCTCCCCTGAAAACTGGGCACATGGCTCACCCAGGGACCTAGGGGGGCACCAAGGCAAATACACGCCCAGCTCACCCAAAACTTTCCAACACACTCCGCCACAATGCCCCCATAGCCCCCACCTGGAGGGTGTCCAGCAAAACTCCCACAGCCCCTCCCTCCTAGATGCCCCAGAGCAGGTGACACCTCCCTTCCAGAGGCCAGGCCCTGCCTGACGCTGGCTGGAGGGAGGCAGTGGGGACAGGCGCTGGTGGCCTCTGGGGCACGAGAAGGCGCCTTTGTGTTTGGTGGGCGGCAGTGGATTTAGGCCAGGCCAGCCCAGGAAGACCCGTCTGTCCCGACATGGAAGGAGGCTTTGGCTGTTTCTAAGCGCACCCCCTCCTGTCTTCGGGGGAGTCTTGGACAATTTTCCCTGAAAAGCGGACAGTGCTCATCTCCTAGAATCTGAGGTTTGGGAAAGAACGCCTTCTTCAGATGTTGCTGTAACGTTCAAGCTCTCCGACATTGCTGAGCTCTCTTTCGCTACTTAAAAATAAACACTGATGGCCGGGCGTGGTGGCTCACGCCTGTAATCTCAGCACTTTGAGAGGCCAAGGCGGGCGGATCACGAGGTCAGGAGATCGAGACCATCCTGGCTAACATGGCGAAACCCCGTCTCTACTGAAAGTACAAA